TCTTTTTTTTGCCCTACAGGTGACAGTTAAAATCCCCCAGAAAAATTCTTAAATGGAGCGTTTTTGATCAGCTCTTTGAAGAAACCAGAAACCAGTAATTTGATGTAAAAAGCATGCAATACTGGTACAAAGCTTTTAGTTTCATTCATCTGTATAGCACAAAACTGAATGATGCTTCTTTTTTGTTAAAGAGACATATTTAAGTGATGTATAAAGCTGTTCCTTACCTGAAGCTCTCAAAGATACGTTATTTTTATAATCTCCAATATAAAGCACTTAAGAGTGATGTGTAAGAAACAGCTATCAGTTAAAAAAAATTTAAAAATGAGAAAAATTAAATACATCATTCTGATGTTATTCTTCTTGTTCCATTTTGATAGAGTAAATCACAAACAGTGCTGTTAAAAGGGTTCATTGCTTTACACAGCTTTTCTATAATAAATACTTCAAAGCATCTTTTGTGTTGCTGTAATTTTTTCACATTTGTCCAATTCCACATTACGTTTTTTTTTACTTCAGAACTGTTTAGAGTTTATAGCAAAGGTGACAGCAATACAGCTTTTCTCAGTGCTTGACTGCATGAAAATAAAAATATAAATTTTATAAAAATGTTTTAGGAGCAGATATTACGACTGACACTCGCAACAGATGCACTAGTAGGTTTTGGGCTTTATCTCAGCTTATCTTGGAGTTTAACACTGCGTTCTAGTGTTTTTCTTGACTCAGGCATGGATAATTGACTGCTAATGTAACTTAAAGGTTTAGGATCAAGCATGTTGAGAAACTGAAAAACATTAAACTGCAGAGTGGTGAGCCTACATACCTTCTTAAAGAGCTTAGCGCTGACCCTGGGCAAAAATTATCAAGGACCTCAGGAGCATCTGGATTCCCCCTCAAGACCTATGTATGTATTGACAGTTCAGTTTCAATCAGTAACTACTGTATTATAATTAAAGGTGGCTATTTTAACTCATGACTTGAGCTTTCTTGTAAATTGAACTTGGTTTGCACATGGTGATGCAATGCATGTGTATTTATTTTAATTAAGGCAAATTTTTCAGATATAACCCCTTTTAAAATGTCATTTTGTACTGTGATTAGACCACAGTTTATATTGAACAAACTAAAGCTATGCAATATCAAAATATTTATTGTTATTGTGATAAATTGTCATAGTGAGCATATCATCGATAATGTAAGTACTTAAGCACTGACCAACTGCATGTTTAATTACAAAGAGTTGATAATTAGTCCTTTTTACATTTACTTGCCAAAAGTCGCTTCACATACACTCACTTTTATTGCCAAGGATTATTTATTTATTAGCGTCTGTTCTGTGTCGTTGAGAACCAGGGCCTTCGTGCTATGCTGCCCACTTTGGAGCCGAGATACAGCGTCCCGTCTCGAACATATTTTACTGACACAGAGATCCCCACTGTCTACAACAACACCAAAACTGAAAAATCACTGAATTAAATGGGTAGGATAGCTGGCAGCCTGCGTCTCATGTGCTCCAAACAAGAGCAGTGAATGAGAGCCTTCCAGTTTACTTGCCGCATCACTTCCATTTGATTTATTAATAAAAAATATTGGAAGTAAATTCATTATGGATCATTACAAATACTTTGCTCTGTGTCCTCACACAGTGAAAAAAAGAAATCCTTTATAGAAAAAAAGATGCATCAAGATAATCGTTTTATAATCGCATCACAGCCCTCTGAATTGTAATCGAATCGAATCGTGAGGTGCCTAAAGATTCCCACCCCTAGTGTTAAGTAAGGGTGCGGGCAGCATGTTAAATGCACGTTGGAATGAAACTGCAGAAAAATAGGTCTTCAAAAGAAAAGCTCTTGACCACTGCTGAAATGCATTGGTCAGGCTTCCCATAGGCTACCACTTACACTGGTTAGGCCTTCAGGATTCTTTACATATTAACGTCACAGACTCAAAAAGAAGGTCCGACTCAATATTTAGGTCTCAAATGCAAAATCAGCATGATACTGATGAAGACGTGATGACAATAATAGATAAATCACTCACATCCTCAGGGGCTTTTTGACTCAAAAGTCAGATTTATCTGCTTGTGGGGGTCTGAAGCACAACCGAGGTCACAAACTGTTCCTCTGCATGGTGCATGCAATTACAAATTTCCACCAGAGATCTCCAAATCCCCAAATCCTACATAGTGTTACTTTAACAATGAAATGAAAGGATTGCTTCAGTAATTAAATACAACAAGCATGATGATTATATCAAATGTAAAAAAACAGCAGAAGCTACAGATTTTTTTTTCACAGAAATCGTTAGACCTCTATGAAGGCCTAGAACGCATGTTTAACTCTCTGGTCTTTGCAGGCTTGGACCTCTGCGTTCTGCCTCATTTAAGACACTTGATTCATCTCCTCTAATTCAGAGGAAGGAAATGCTAACCTCTGCAAAGCTTTGGTCCAGAGGGAACCCATTTTGATATGGAGGCCCTGAGGGTTGCCCACTGTTTAGCTTTCCACAACAAAAAAAAAATCCATTGATGAATGGGGTTGAAGCTGTGGATGACAACACATACAGTCTGTAATTGCATACCTACACAGTGGACCTCAAATTGGCCTGTCAGTATTTCTAATAGTGGATGGTGAGTGTATATTAAGGTTAAAACTAAATTGTATCTGACTATTATAGGATGGTTTGGATACTGTAGAGACCTACTGTGGTCAAATGTCTGCTTTTGAGGCTAGCAGATTGCTTGTTGGAGGTTTAGTTCAACAAATACAAAAACATTTTCAGTTGTTAGATGTTTGCTTTTGCTTTGAAGTGATCAGTGGGAGTGTAGAGGCAAGTGGAAGTGCACAAAGAACTAATTGAAGAGGCATTTTAAGTATGCCACAATTAATAAATGGACTAAACTCCACCTGTGTGTGTTGTTTCTAAAAAGTTTCTAAATAATAAAAATTAAAGTGACACTCCAGTCTGTCTACTCTCACAGTGTCACAGTAGTCTCTAAAGTGTTTTTTCCTGGTTTAAACATTAGGACTCTTCTGATAGATCTCAAGAATAGAACTAGATTTCAGAAGACGACAGTTGCTTTTGGTGGAACGGATTGAATAATTCTTTTAACTAAAAAAAAAGTTTGACAGCCAATTAAAGTTAGTACTATATAAGAAATAAACACCACAGTTGTATTTATTAGCATGCACAAAAAACAGAAAATGTTACAAAATTATATAACATATATACACACACATACACACACTCAAGAGTCCAGTGGCAGAGTGCTTTAGACCACTCCCCCAATGTTTGGCATTGTGCATTTTGATCTTAGGCTTGTGTGTAGCTCATTGGCCTTGGACACCTACTTCAAGAAGTTCTTAACATGCAGTTCTTTTGCGGATGTTGCTTCCAGAGGCAATTTGGAACTCTTTAGTGAGTGATTCAACAAGGATAGTCACTGTGTGCTTCAGCACTCAGTGGCACCACTCTGTGAAGTTTGCATGATGTACCGCTTTGTGGCTAAGCTGTTGTTGATCTGAGGTGCTTCCATTCCACAATAACAGCACTTTTGACAGGAGCAGATCTAGCAGGGCAGAAATTTCACAAGCTGACCTGTGGTAGAGGTGGCATCCTATGACAGTGCCATGTTTGAAGTCACTGAGTTCATCAGTACGACCCATTCTACTGCCAGTGTTTGGCTGCAAGGCTATGTGCTTAATTTTATTAATCTGTTAGCAATGAGTGTGGCTAAAACACCTGAGGGGTATACCAATATTTTTGTACATATAGTGTGTGTGTGTGTGTGTGTGTGTGTGTGTGTGTGTGTGTAATTACTTAATTAATTAATTTTCTAGCAGGGCTGTCCTGCAGAATACTGCATAACACGACAAATAACATATTTTAAGCCTGCATACCTCTTTATACTGAATGAACTGGGGTTTTAGATTGTGGGAGTCAAGCTAGCTAACTAACCTCAATCAGTTCAGAACAGACTTTGTATCGAAGTTCCGGTGTTACAGCAGGGAAAGCAGTCAACTGTGCGGTGCTGTCTCTACAGCACTGGAGATTTACCATACAGCACTGAACAACAGTGTACCATCTCCATTAAAGATATTTACTGTACACACCCAATGAACAGCCATTATATTCACAGACACAATAAGTAAGTGAATAAAATGAAAGGCTTACCGTTCAATAAATTATATCTTGTCTTTTCAATCTATCATAAGCAGCAGGCTGCAGTGCCACATGAAACACTTCAGACTAGTAAATGTAAACTGATTCTGATGCCCTCTAGTGGTGTGTCTAAAAACTCAAGACAAGTCAATTTTTCCAGAAAATTAAAAACGTAACCATTACACGTACTGTACACATGAAATGTCTATTTTTAAATGCTTGACATTAATTTCTAGCACAAACATAAATAGTGAAGGTGATGCCTATGTATGAATTAACTGAATTAAATACCCAAAAAATCGTTTTCAGCAGCTGAATCTGAACTAACTTGAGGATTGGAGGGGTGTATGTATAAATGAATAAATGAATTATTAATTACATCACTACATTTCTAAAACATTATAACAAATCATCTATATATACCGATTAGCCATGACATTAAAACCACCTCCTTCTTTCTACTGTCATTGTTCATTTTATCAGCTCTGCTTACCATATAGGTGCACTTTGTGGTTCTACAATTACAGACTGTAGTCCATTTGTTTCTCTGTATACTTTGTTAGCCCCCTCTTTTCCTGTTTTTCAACGGCAACGGTTTTCAATGGCCAGGACCACCACAGAGCAGGTATTCTTTGGGTGGCGGATCACTCTAAGCACTGCAGTGACACTGAAGAGCCTTAGTGTGTGTTGTGCTGCTACGAGTGGATCAGACACAGCAGAATATATATATATATTCAGTAAATGCATCATTTATAAAAATTCTGATTAAAGTTAACTCCGCCTCTCAAACATACTGAACAGTCTGAAGCCGAATCTGATTCTCAGTGAATTCACTGACTCAGATCAGCCACTTTCACAACAACCAGATGGGAGAGGACCCCGCTGCGTCATCAACAAACCCAGAAACTATAGTTCTCTTTCAGTTTGCCTGATTCTGAGCCAAATCCAAGCGTTAATTACGACATTGTGTCTGCACATATGACGTACGCGTTAATTATATTTGCTAAAAAAAAACACTAGGCAGTGTGTTCAAGACTGCAGTTGGGTGGGCGGCAGCAGCAGAGTGTGTGCTAGGCGCAGGCCTAAAAGGGGACAGTCTGTCCGCCGCACAGATCGCCTCTGTTTGGACGAGGGTCGCTAACAGCGGAGGCACAACGGCACACGAACCCGTTCAGTCCAAAACAGCTCTGACCACAGAATTAAATGGGGCTCTAAAATTTATCGGTTCGTTTAGGGGCTGGATTTAAAACATGTCGATGACAGGCGGTTCTGCGGTTATAGCGGCCGCCCTCTTCTTTCTGCCCTTATAGCGCGTTAGCTAGCTGAATAGCCAGGTAAATGGCCGGCTAGCTAACCTGCTGCTGCTAACTACCGGTTTTCTCGCTAACCGGTCGTGCTTTGCCCTGCTTTCGTCTCTGGGAGTTTGTCGACGACTCGGAAAAATAAGGTTACTTTTAAACTGACATGCGGACAGCCTGGTCGTTGGTTACATTAAAGTGTTTGCTGTTCCGCTCGGTCTGCCGGTTTGCTCTGTGACTGGCTCGCTCGCTGGAGTTAACAGGCTAGCCGGGCTTAGCTAGCCGTCCACCACACTCTGCGGTTCGCGCAGGCTATAAATACTCATCTTTGTTTCCTCCCGTCCAAAAGTGGCAAGCTCATCTGCTGAGAGCCTGCCTTCATCCACTCTTGGCAATAATCCTTGGACCCCGTCGTCGTGCAAGGCCGTCAAAGTAAAAGCCGGGACATACTGAACTCTGGGGTGACGGTGTCAAAACTTTGAGCCAAACTTTGGGGTCCCCGGTTAAACTAGCTTAAACTGGACACCTGTTTTAACCAAATATAGAAAAAGGCAGGTGGTCATGCGAGTTCAGCCTAGATCTTAACGGTTGCTAGTCCCAATTTTCATGGGAAATCAGCGTTTCGTTTCGGAGAAAAGGTACAAACAATCCGGAGAGCAGCTAACTAGTTAGCTAACTGGCGTCGCTAAAAGAAACTGGCAGCCAAGTCTGAGGACGCAGCAGCAGTAAGGCACCATGTCCGAAGACAACAATGCAGACAAGTTTATCAAGGTAAGGAGATCATTTAAAATGATACCAGTACGTGTAAAAATGCTGAATGTCGATTCAGCGAATTCTGCCATGAACTGACACGTGTGGAATTGTCCAGCACTCGTTTCGCTCTTTTCCAGAAGCCGTAAAGATAGTGTCTAATCTTAAACGGGCTCGTGACGAGTCTACTTTTTTACTTGCTTCCAATTTAGCTAGCTTTCCAAATTTAGTGAGGTTTCTTTTATTCTGACAGCTCTTGGTCTGCTTTGCTGTGGCTCACACCTCTCACTTTGAAGCTTCAGCATTTTATTTTGGACAAAAAGTATCACAACACAAGAATAACAGGGCCCAAAAAACTTCACTCGTGTACTTTGAGACGTTGGACGGACTAATGCGACTGCTGAAGAGAACACATTATTTGACCATATACGTTTTTGTTCGCAAGTTGAGCTCCTAAAGTACTTCGGTAGCTACTTCTACTCGTGTTATGTCATTGGGCTAACAATGCTTTTACCTGAGTGTGGTTTTAGGCTTCTCTATTTCTAACCATTGAAATAATAGGAGCATTGATGTATTCTAATCAAGCTGTTTTGTCATTGATTTGAAATTCAGATAGTTTTGGCTCGTTGTTTTTAAGACAACTATTTGAATGAGCTCTGCTCTGATAGGCTGCACCATATTAATCTTGATTTAAAATACAGTCCAGGCTGCAGCACTCCTTAATACTTAATGTGATTGGCCACATGTGTTTGTTTTGTGACATCACAAAAACATTGTGTGTGTGTGTGTGTGTGTGTGTGTGTGTATATATATATATATATATATATATATATATATATATATATTTATGGTTGCTATTTTTCACACTTCTTAGCTTACCGAAAGTCAGTTTTCATGGTCCAGTCTCATAATAATAAAATATGTCCAGTTTTATAATAAGATAGTAAAAGTTCCTACCCATCCAGTTACATGCATCATGTAAAAGCAGAGACAGTTTATGATATACTTATCCACAGTATTGGGTCTGATTCTCCACCTGGCTAAGGGCCAACCCTTATTAAGTCGCAAATGGTGAAGATTGTGTAAATGATTCACAGTTTACATTAAAATGCTAATCATTTACAGTCCTTAAACGTGTGAAATGTTTGACCTGAATTTGAGTTGGGTGTTGAGCCAAGCACATCTCCATTAGCAACTGTTGATCCAAACTCTGCCATATAAGACTGCAGCGCAGGCCTGGCCTCATTTCTCATTTCAAGTGTCAGAGCCCAAAACATCATACACTTGTAAACCAAGCATCATATTGAGTACTCTTTGCACTGGTTTAGTTTATCTGACCTGTGACGCTAATGGGAAACTAGGGCAACACTGCAGATAATGTAAATCATCCATGACCAACAAGACCAGAACACAGTGAAGGGCTCAGGTACAGTGATTTCAAAGCTCAAGAGTGTCTGCTCATGCAGATTTCGTTTTAGATAGTGATCTCTTGGTCTATAGATTATTTATGAAAAGAAGTGGGATCTTCAGTAACGCCATACTGTAACCTTCCATAAATGGAACGTCTTCAGTGATTTTTAAATTGTCGTTATATCCCATTTGTAAATTACAAAAAAGGTGGATTAGTTTAGCCCAAGCTATTACTAATAACACTGATAGCACTAATAACAATAACAGCCGAATTAACCAAATTATTAAGAAGAAGCAAATTATGTTGTTAAAAGGTGACTTATTAAACCTAAAACATGAACTACCAAGCCATACCAAGAACAACGTTAACCTGCAAGTTTCTGACCAGAAACGCAAGCATATTGTTAATGTCGGAACAAAACCTTGTGACTCCCAAATTGTAACGTTCCAGGAGAAGGGGAAAAAAACATTACTAATTTTTAATGAAAGTTAATGTAAGACTTATTTTCCCATGTATTTTCCATGTATTCGGCCATTGTTGTATGTTCATTCATCATTACATTTTCGCACAATGTAAAGATCAGCTGGTGTCTCCAAATTATTAAAAAAATGGAGGTACCCAGATATCATTTTTTTCCTAGTCATACCGAAAACCTGCTCGGACGGCGTGCTGTTCGCTCTCATTTGAAAAACAGGTCCAGTCTGTTTGGAGACAGTGCCTCATGAGCTGTTGCTGCAGCTTTATGAAGTTGCATAGCTCTTTAAAAAAGTGGAAGAAAGTGACGAGATAAATTTGGCAGGAGAACATATTGGAACCCTCTGGCCACCCTGCTGAAAGAGCTTTAATGAAATGGATATGAAGAGATTTTGAGGTACCATCTTAATTTTTCCTCATTCATGATAAATATCACTAAAACCATTTGAACAAATTAAAGCTGGTGTCAGTACACTGCTACATTTTCAGAAATGCCCAAAACATCCAGTCCCTGGTCCTAAAGAACCCCTTTCCCTGCATTTTTAAATGGTTTTCCCTGCTCTGATACACCCGATGCAAGAAATCAGCTGGCTCACAAACCCTTCAACAAGAGATGAAGTGGCCATGTTAGATTGGCAAGTACACTAAAATGCGCAGAGCAAAAGATTGCTTTGCCTTAGGGCAATATTTTCCAACCCAACCCCCCAAAACACCCGTACCAAGCCACTAAGAACCCCGAATACCTGGTACTTCCTGAGGACTGGGTTAAGAAGCCCTGACCTAGGGGTAGGTGAGGCATCAGTGTAGGGTTGTTACTGTTGATTATATTAGTAATAAAGGTGTCTACTGATTATTTTGACAGCACCTAATTTTAAAGGGGCTTTAATTGAGTAATATTAAAATATTAAAGTTTTTAAAACAAACAAAAAACCCACACACAATAATGGTTTTTAGTGAAATATAACTAAAAGATTCCATAATATAATACTGGAAAAAGATAAACAAGGAAGCCTTAATAATAAAAAAAAACCTGCATCATCATGAATTCATCATTGCTGGTTCAGTAGGAAAGTAAATTTAGTAAACAATTTTGTCTTATTTTGGGTAGGTAGGGTAGCCCCCCCCAATCCCCCCCATCACTCAGTGTGATGCTAGCCAACACAGGCGTCAGTTAGCTGATGTAACAGCGTTCTCGACCAAGCATGTTAAGCTGTTTGATGATTTTAGCAACGGTTTGGAAACACGTGGTTGGCTTCACAGAGGAAGTGTGTCTCCTTCACCAGCTAATTAACACCATATGATTTAGAGAGAACTAGTGGGAGCTAGCTATCTACTACTTAGCTACTTAAAGACATATTTGCAGAAACCATGAAGACTAAAATCAAGATCACCATGTTTCATCAGAACAGTAAGTTGTGACTGAAGGTATGGAATTATATTTTATGAAACCTAATACAGCCTGAGCAAAAATTGTCTTTAACAATTCTGTCTGAATGTGCAGCGGCAAGGATTTCTTTTTGCAACATATACATTAACCCAGCAGTAACCATTGTCACTGGCAGGGATGTGTCCAGCTTGGGGTCAGTAAGTAAGAATGGGGGCCCTCAAGTCCTGGATAAGCCATTGTTTAGTAAGCAGTTTGTGAGATATCTATCAGATAACTTGCACATACCACAACAGCTCAGGCTCTGAGCTATATGAGTTAAGAACAAGTTTACACCACAAGTTAAAGCGGATTAGTTTCATGGGCTGACTCCTGTGTGAGACTGCATATTGTCCAGAACTATATTTTGTACTCACGTTTGGAATTCAGTATTTGCTAAGGAGTGTTTAAAAAATGCACAGCCTGACATTAATGGTTTAAGCACATGTTTGTCAGGTGGCCTTAGTTTAAGTGGGGAAAACTGGGTTTTGCGCATTCTTCACAGCGCAATAACATACCGTCTGTATGCAACATTCATAGCATGGAGTCGCAATAATTATCACAGTGGTGTAGTTCTAGTGGACACTTTAACCTCTTAAACCCTAAAGTCCTGTTGATAGGTAGAGACTTTTAACTCCTCACTCTTATGACTACATACTTTACGTATTAGTTCCATAGTAGTTATTAAGTACTTGATAGTAGTTACTGGCCCATAAGCCTCAAGGTAATAACTGAATAAAAAGCCTTAAGCCTTGCTTATTATTATGACTGAACGATAAATCATATTTTTTGCGTAATTGCGATCTGAATTTCCATGATGAACATAATGTTAAGAGCTGCAATGATGGATCAAATTACCTCACATATGTGAGTAACTTGACATTTTGATGAACTGGCGAATCACAAAACACTCAAACTACTCATGATGATTAAACTAAATATGATGATTATACTCACTCATAGTGTTGTGTGTAAAATACATAGACTGTATGGGAAAATGTTTGAAGTAGAAATGGCTGTCACAACAAGTCTGTAAGGTATTAAATATATTACTTTATTGTAAATAAAAATGTGCAGATGTACTTGCGTTTGTAACATGACGAATTGAAAAACTGATTGAGCCTCTTCTTAAGTTGGTTCTGAAATGTATTCATTCGAAAGATTCTAAGAAAAACTTAACTACGTCAGATTCATGATGTGTTCTCAAACCGCAGAATTGTTCACACCTTTGTGATCTTGAGTGAGTGTAGATTCTGCTCTTACCTAAGAACAAATTCCAAATAAGAAAACATCAGTGAATGTCAGAATCTTTGTGAAAACGGTGTTGGTGGGTTTTAAGAATAAAGTTGGAGAATGCCCTTTGTGTTTAGACTGAAGCACCTCATACAATTTGCTCACATTTCACAGGCTACAGATCTTCCAAGAGGGGGTGCCATTAGCAGTTAAATAACTTTTGATGGGTAACAAAGCAATTCTTCGCAACAGTGAAACATGCTCTGCATTACAATGCACAAAAATGCTTACTGTTTTGATATAAGTAACTATTAGTATTTCAGTAGTGAATGGTACATTTGTAAGTTTGTGGGGTTTTTGCCATTTGCTTAAAGGAGAGCCTGGTTAGATTTCTGTTTACGCAGCAAAAAAAGTCTGTACTTATTACACATCCAGTCAGATGCACACTATTTTCATAATAGTTTATAGCTTCTTATATTGCTGTTGTGATATCCATTGGCTTTATCAAACACTGCGTCTGTATTATGCAGGCTTGCTTATCTGTCTAACTAGCTATCTATTTATCTGTGTGTATCTAAATGTTCATCTGTCTGTGTCTTTGTTTGTTGTCTTCTTTGTTGTTGTTGTTGTTGTTGTTGTTGTTGTTAACACACTACACCTGTGTGGTATATTAATGTCAGTATTATGCCCATAGGAGAGTTCCATCTTGGAAGAGTACAATATCAACTGGACACAGAAGCTGGGTGCTGGAATCAGTGGACCTGTAAGGTAAAGTTTTTAATCTTATTCGCATGTTACCACAAGCAAGTGAAAGTTCAGGTCCCCCCCCCCACTGCTTTGATCAGGGGTCTGACATTAGCCTGCAAACTTCATAGTTTGCTTCAAAGTTCGTTCCTCAGTTCAGTTGTACTATTAACATCCTCTTACACCTCCCAAGATCTAATTTGTGGAGTCATGCAGGTTGTAAATCCTCATGAAACAGTGCATTCTAAAAGTATTTACATGTATTTTGAAGTTTAATCGGCTTCTGCAGTGCTGGCTCACTCACTCGCTTCATTTATGCATATGCTCTTTTGAGGTTATGTGTTTTATGGCTTATTTGATGGCCCAGCTCTTTAGTTACATAAGCCTTCTTGCCACTCTCGAGGGCCCTTGGAGGCACGTACTTGGTACACTATGCTGTTTGAGGCCAGGGGAAAGAGGCCAGGAAAGGTTAGGTTCACACTAATTCACTGACCTTTCAAAGTTTGTCTTCCTCTTCTGTGTCTTAGCTTATGGCCCAGGGCTGTAATCATTTCCTAGCTATGGCTTCAAATCAATTTGGTCTTGGATTGAATAGGTTTTAAAGATGAAAAAACATCCAAAACAACCCAAACTGCACAGTAAACGCTCTGTGCACCAAGGCTGTATTATGAAACAGCATTTAATACAGTTAAAATGGTTTGCCGACCTCATCAGCTAAATAGGTAGTCTAGGACTGGACATGGATTGACCTACATCCTAGCTGTCTTTCCTTACACAGTAAACCAGATTTTGTGCATGGGTCTCTGTGCTTCCTCATTGTAACCTTTCTAACCTTTTTCTATGAACAGTCTTGAAACAAAGTAGAACTAAGTAATCTGAGCTTTGAATCAGTCTTGTAGTTTTGGGTTTAGTGATTTGTGTGTGTCTAGAGAAAATATTATGGTGGAGAATGTTCGTAAGACCAGCATTTGTGGTGTTTTCATTTTAAGTCTTATTGGTGTGCTGGCTTGCAATTGGTGACATGGCTAGCACTGCAGAAGACTTTCAGGTTCTCTTATTGTGTCCATGTATGTGGCCTCGATGTAATGTGCCCATTGCTGGTGCTGTAACCTTATTCCGAAAATGTTTTTAATATGAAGATGCACCACTGCGTAGTGTGGGCTACTTCTAACTTATGGCACTGGAACATGACTTACTGAGTAAAACGTTGTGAAGCCTTTGAGTCAATAAAACTTTATTAATAGATGAAGGAACAAGACTTTAAATTTGTAAGTGAAGTCTGAAATCAGTGGTATTCCCTCCTTCGACTGAGTTCTTTGCCAAAGTAATCGTAGCAGTGCGGTTTATCATGGATGTCTACATTTGAGGAAGGGTTTAATTTGAGATTAAGTAAAGTCATATCTAATGTAATGGCTTACTCACTATTGAAGGCACACTCAGATTTAGCCTGTAGCACCACATCTGTGTCTTTGTTTAGTTATTAAATGTGAAAAGATAAATGGTTTAAACAGATGTTAAGGCCTAATTATAACTCCAGCATCATTGAGTGCATACACAGCCATGACAAACCATGGTTATTTTCAGAGGTGATGTGATTATTAATTGCAATGAACATTAATTTGCAATTTACAGCAGAGACTAAGTGATGGGTTGTACTGCAGTTTGTATCTTGATTGTACTGGAAAGCATTAACTATCGAGTTTAGTCATTTCAGAAGTCAAATTTGCAGTTTTTATTTAGGGACGTGAACTCCTAGTTTTCATGTTCATGTGTCCACAGTCATTATTTCTGAATGAAAGGCCTCTTATTTCAAGCACCATTGGTTAGGCTGTGAATCTGAAGAAAAAGATACAAAATTGAGCTTTTTGGCAGGAATTCAAAATGCTGTGTGTGGTGCAAATCTAACTCTGTCCATTCTTTAACAAACACCATCCCAACAGTGAAGTATGGGGGTGGCAGCATCATATTGTGGGGATGCTTTTTCTCAGCAGGGATTGGGCATCTTGTTAAAACTGAAGGACTAATGGATGGTGCAAAATACAGCGAGACAACCTGCTTCAGTTTGATAAAAGACTAAAGCTTGAAAGAAACTTCACCTTGCAGCAGGACAAGTGCGAGGCTAAAGCAACAAAGGAGTGGTTGAAAACACCAAATTTCCTTGCTTCGCATTGGTTGAAGTCAAAATCCAGATTTCAGTCTTCTTGAAAATTTGTGGCACTGTTTAAAATTAGCAGTTTCTGCAAGGAAGAATAAGTGAAAATCACTCCTAAACAGTGGGCAAAGCAGAGAGAAACTTATCCCAAAAGGCTTAAAGCAGTAAAAGGTGGTTATACCAAGTACTGCTTTGAAGGGGTCTCAATTTACTCTTAAGAGATTTTTGGGTCTGTGATTAAAAATTAGCCTGAACAATCTGTTTGTCATTTGAAATCCTAAAGAATCTTGTGACTTTTAAGGAGGCTGAATGCTTCTGCAAGGCACTGTATATATGGCCATGCTATCTCTGCCTTCTCAGTCAATGAGTCCTTTCTCTGTCTTCCCACGATGAATCATAATGAATATTCGAACAGTGATTTTAGTATTCTTGAGTAACTGTGCACACACTGATTAGTTTTTTCACTTTGTTTTATACCGGCACTGTTGAAATATTTCCTCAAATCTGTCAGAAAAATTTTAAATAAGCTTTGAAAATTTAGACAAGCAGGTGTTGTAGCTTCTGCTGTTTCGAAGGTCCTGCACTGATTTTGTAAATTTCTGCTTCAATTCAACTCCTTGCATCAGCTAACTTTAACAAATTGCTTGCTTTTGATTGTTATTAATGCAGGTACCATGACGAGAGACCACATAGACCCAAATTAACACTCCCCAGACATGTAGCTTTTATTCCTAAAACACTGGCAGGCGATGAAAATCCGATTGTATATGCCTTGTTTAGTGGTCTTGGAGGTTTTGTCAATTTGCAGTAGCCCTGTGAATTCAGTTTGGGGTTGGACATGCACTGAACACGATCGAAGTAACTTAATGTCCTTATTTCTCCAGGGTCTGTGTGAAAAAGTCAACACAAGAACGGTTTGCCCTGAAGATCTTGATCGACAGACCCAAAGCGCGCAATGAGGTACTGAAGATGCATTTATCAGTTTATAATTGTAAAGCGCTCTGTGTCATTCACTCTTCACTTTGCACTATGTCTTCGTTCCATCTCAGTTTTTAGTCGTCATAATGATGCTTCTTTTTGCATGTGACAAGTTATGGCCAGGACTAGAATTGATATATATTCATTTCTAACATCAGCCTGTGAAAGAATAATGAAAGAATTCATAGCAGTGCATTCACGTAGCCTGCAAAAAAGTGAAAAAACCTTTCACTGAAGAGCAAATAAACAATGTTGTTGTCTTTGTTGCTTTTGTGGAAAAATGGCTCAAAAGAAAATCAGACTCATGACTGATGTGCCCCAATTAATAGTGCAGTTCAGGAACTGGACATCTGCCTTCTTAGGCAGTAGTTATTTTAGGCATGTGCTTAAAAATACTTATTTAGATAAAATATTACAGCTAGAAGGACACAGTCACTGTATAAAAGTTCCCAGTTGGCGCTTCTTCGTTGTTGGCATTTTTGAGTATTACTTTAAAGGGGGACACTACAATTTGCCATTCTTCTTTATTAGGTGAGACTTCATATGATGTGTGCTGCTCACCCCAACATTGTGCAGATTTTGGAGGTTTATGCCAACAGTGTGCAGTTTCCCCATGAATCCAGTCCAAGGTAGGGCACACACCAAGCTGCTTATGTCTGTTTTTCTCCTCTGTGTTCCCTCTTTCATTATTCTCTCTCTCTCTCTCTCTCTCTCTCTCTCTCTCTCTCTCTCCCTCTCTCTCTCTCTTTGCCACTTATTACAGAGCAAGGTTATTAATTGTTATGGAGATGATGGAAGGAGGGGAGCTGTTCCATAGAATCAGTCAGCACAGACACTTTACAGAGAAGATGGCAAGCCAAGTCACTAAACAGGTACTCATTTAAAAAAACTGCCCACATTCCCACAAAACCAGTACAGCCACTACAAAATTAATAGAAGCAGTGGGATTGACATAATTGCTACATTTTGGCAGTGTACTGAGGCACATTTGATTTGTCAGTTTTAACTGAATGGTGTGTATGATCATATCGGTTGAACCATGTTTTACAGACCTTTTTACAGACCAATTACAGACCTTTTTTGATACGTAGCTCTCCCATTTTAATTGGCCAGTTGGAAGGCTGGCTGCATAGTTGTTTGTTGGCAAGTTGTTGTTACATCATTCGTTCATGCACTGAAGGTCAAAAGTTCAGTCTAGATGAGGCATTTGCGCGTGGATCTGTTGCTGTTGTCTCTCAACATGAGGACCAAAGAAATGTCAAAACCAGTAAAACTGGCATTGTGAGGCTAATAAATCAGATAAAGTCAAACAGAGACGTAAACAAAACGTGACTCGTGTTAAAGATGTACCAGAGCAATGGAAAGGAGGAGAAAAAAGAAAAAGTACCCTTCTTTTTGTATGGACATTTATGGCTGATAGTGGGACCTGCCAGCTTTTTATCTGATGATGTAATTGTTGACAGCAGTTGAATTCTGATGTGTTCAGAAGCATCTGAACTGCTCAAATCCAGCTAGATGAATCGAAACCCATTGAGCATTCGTTTCACTTACTGAGGACAGCTGAAGGCAAAATGCCCACAAAGCAAACAGGAACTACAAATATTTGGCAGCGCATCACCAGGAAAGTTACCCAATGTGTAGTATTGTCTGAGAGTGACAGACATTGATTGTGAAGGATTTAAAACCAAGCTCTCAGCCTGGCGATTTTATTTAAGGCTAATTTAATTTGTCCGGTTACTTTTCGTCTTCTGAAATCACAAGTGGTCCTTTTATGGTTCGCCCAGTGTGTGTAACAACTAGTGATTTGCGAGTATATATGTTATGTTACACTTGGCTACTCTGAAACGTGCCTGAACGTGATTGCATTGCCAAGGATGCGTTGTTGAGGACGTGGCTGAGAAGGCAGTAATAGCACAGCTGTGTCACTAAGTAGTTAGCTAGCTGCTATAGCTGATGTTAGCTAGGTCCAGAAACAGTGAAAATATGTATTTCTCTGTCAGATAACATGTTGGCACATTGTTCACTGATGAGAAAATGCCTTGTGTCAAAGATAGTGAGTTCTCTTAAGCATCTAACATTACACTGGTTAGTGTTTAGCTCATTGGCTTATCTAAAGAGGCACCTACAGTTAACCACATATCCATTAATGAACTCTTAGGGATATTCAATAATCAAAGTGAGTCGGAATGCATCAGTTAGCTCAAATTAAAGCCAACATTCTGCACTTTAACCTTAAAGTCGTCATTTCAGATCAACAAAAATTCCCCAGTTAAGTGCAGACTGCACTGTAGATGATGACGGGCTTGGCTGCAGGTGATTTCAAACTTGACTGATTTGACAACAACACTGGTTTCCCCCACCTTACACAGGCCGATCAAAGTATAATTATAAAGATATAATTATCATGTTATGTTGCATCAGCTTGAAGCACTTTGATTATATAGAGGAGTGCTTTGGCAGGGAATGAGTTGTTGGCATACGCCAGTGTCTGAGGTCAACTCTGGTTTTGAAAGATCCTGTGGTTTATCTATGTTTTTATCTCCACAGATTGCCCAGGCTTTGGAACACTGTCACTCACTGAATATTGCACATCGAGACCTGAAACCAGAGAACCTGCTGTTCAAGGACAATTCACTGGTAATTCACTTTTCTTCTATTAGACCTGAAATCAGAATGGACCTTTTTAACTTGTTAGCTATGATTCTAGGAATATTGGGCATGATTCATCATTATCATTTAAAAGGAAAAAATCTGTTTTCCCTGAAGTGTTATGACTTTTCCTTGCCTCAGAAACATCTGATTTTTGATTGTCACCATGCATTTGAAGGCAGGCAAAAATAATATTAACCAATAATATCTTGTTTTTACCGCCACTGCCTATTATTGAACAAAACTGTGCTAGTTCAGTTAACCCTCCTTAATATCATGTTTCTCTTGGAAATATGTCATGGTGTGGAAAATGAAAATGTATTATGACATTGACTTGAAAGTAGCTCTTAGTTGTTTTTTGGTCAGTAGGTTCACTGATCAGATTTTGTAAAATGTCCTCTTATTAACATCACCAGGATGCTCCTGTAAAATTGTGCGATTTTGGTTTTGCCAAAATCGACCAAGGTGATCTGACAACCCCACAGTTTCACTCCTTACTATGTAGCACCTCAGGTAAGATCTTTTACATGATATGTAGTACATATTTTTATTCATTTAATCATTCTTTCATTAACTTTTTAGTAATATATTATGGATTTTGTGTTTTCAGGTATTAGAGGCACAAAGGCGCCACCAGAAAGAAAAGTCTGGAATTATACCTACCTCACCAACCCCTTACACATACAACAAGGTATGACGTCTTTATGAGAAACTTGTTTCTTGGATCAGTTAAATCAGCATTCAGTAACTTTTAATGAATATGCAGGCTACTACCTAGCCCAAAATATTTCATATGATTTGTGTCAAAATAAAATAAAAATTTGCTAAAATGAAACATCATTAGCTTTTCTTACTTTGTAGAACATTCAGAAATGAAAATGAAAAGTAGTAGGGGCTTTGAGCTCTTTGCTGTCTAATGCGTTTGTGCATTCAGTCCTAAGGTGTATGAATATATGACCTGGGAAACGTGAGATGTCGATAAAAATGGTAAAGAATATTACAAATGTTACCTCTGCTGTCCGTGTGACGACATTTCTCTGTCTTTGCAGAGCTGTGACTTGTGGTCCTTGGGCGTGATCATCTATGTGATGCTGTGCGGCTATCCGCCGTTTTATTCCAAGCACCACAGCCGCACTATCCCTAAAGACATGCGCAAGAAAATCATGACGGGCAGTTTTGACTTCCCTGAAGACGAGTGGAGCCAGATATCTGAGATGGCAAAAGACATCGTCCGCAAGTGAGGGTCTTCTTTTAAGTTAGTCTTCTACAGACCTGCAATAAGAGATTTTGTAAAAGTATTAGCACATACATTTATAGAAATTCAACAGTAAATGGGAAGCCGAATCACTGTGTCAACAGTTTTGTACACTGTGACATTGTAGTTATGTTGAAAATTCAGAGTTTGTTCTATGGTTGAGAACAAAAAACCATAAGAGAACAAAAAATAAGCCAGAACTATTGCATCACAGACTTGAATTCATCAGTTTCCTGTTTGGTTAGCAGCTTCTTGAATGAATCATGTTTGTGATTTGTTCAGTGAACAAGAAGAGTCTATATCGAGGGTGTCAAACTGGTTTCCTTTCAGGCCACAACTTTTCAGAGATTGGTATTTCCCTTTTTCTAGCACAAGTTGGATCAGCTGTTTAATGACGCAGAGCGCTAAAGTCTACAGTGCTTTGTCCCCACGTGGACTATAATGTTTGCTTAAAGACGCTTACTGGAGTTTTGTAAGCAAATAGGAGACTCTTATGAGCAACACTAATTAGAGCCCAAGTCTAATTTTGTAGGTAAGGAAGCACTAAAACATCCAAAATATTCAAACATTTGGTGGACTTGGTGAACTTTACTGAGCATGTCTGAGGTGGATGGAAAACACTTCATGCACCCACAATAGCACTGGTCTCTTGAATTGTTTTATTATTTGTGTGTTTGATAGGAGTCGTAGTAGACAACCAAACAACCTACATTTGTCCCTGATGCATCAAAGCAGTGCAGAGCAATAAAATGTGCATCATTATCACAATATGAGCTTATGCGTCAGTGAGAATGTTGAATATCACAATATAACAATATAACTTAGGCACTGACCTTTGTTGCTGAATTGCGTCATTAACCCAAGTTATGTGGTTGTTTTGGCCGGGAGGGAAAAATAAACAATAAAAACTATGCAGTGCAAAGGTTTTTGATCTCTCCTACTATGTTTGTAGGTAAAACTCTGGTGACGCTTTATTTTGAGTGGTCCTTTTAGGTGAAACAAACACTCAGTCGACTCTCGGTAACATGTCAAAAACGTGAGGTTTAGGATTAGGTTTTGGGTTGAGGTTAAGTTTAGGGTAAGTTTATTAGTTTGTTTGTTTATTTATTTATTTATTTAATGAATTAATTTTTTTTTTTTTGGTAAGGTTAGGTTTTGTGTAATGGAAGATATTAACAATACATCTACTTAACATAAGTAATGTGTCATCAATACATCTTTAAGGTATTTAATGTATTCAGATGCTTTCCTACTACTTCACTGATATGTGGTTGATGTGTTACTGAAAGAGTTTGAAACTGGAAGAGTTTATTAATCATCTACAAAGGACCACTCCAAATAAAGTGTTACCAAAACTCTTCTCAGAAAAATGTTACTGTTCTTATATTGATATTTTTCTTTGTCACTTCGTATTAAGATGCTGGCTGGCTTTTGGCTCATGAATTGCATGGCACATTTGCTTTTTTGTTTTTTGAATTTGTTGTTCGTGTATGATTTACTAGCACCAGGACTAAAGGTCATGACTGTGGCATGTGTCTATAAAATGATGCAGGGGAAAAAAAGCTGGCCAGGTTTGAGAATAACCGAAATTACAAACAGTGAAAACACAGGGACACCAAGGGCGCTTTCAGAAGCTGTCATTAAGAACTAAATCTTATTTTTCCTTCTTTCTGGCACAAATGTTATCTTCAGCCCACAATAATATAAACTGATCAGCTTTGTTTCATTCATGTTGTGGTTTTAAGTCTGATTGAGCAGATAGCTGCCAGAGTGACATCTAAAACTATTACACAACTTTATTGGGCTTATTGCAGGGCTGTTTCGCATGACTGCAATGTAAATGTAAATGGGGATGCACAATCGGAATCGGACAAGATCAGAATCGATAGATTTTTGCTCAAAACACAAAATGGACAATTGGCCAATGTATTGGGTTATTTATTTATTTTTTTTAATTTAATTTTTTTTTTCGTCGGTCTGTGTTGCAATTTCTTGACAGATAATGTAAGTGCACTTACACTGTATTTGAGTGATGCTGCTACACCTATAGCAAAATGTACTTGCATAATAAAACCCATTGGCTTAATGACTCATTATAGTAAATAGCCAGTCACTTCTTACTTTTGATGTAGCAGTTTATTTGAATCATGTTATTTAAATAGACAACAGAATTGAACTTTCTAAAATACTGAAAGTTACAAAAAATGTAAAATTTTTAATGGCAGTTTAAAAAAGAGCCAATACGGTTGTTTTATATTGCAGGTTTGGCTAAAGGAAAGTGTTGGAAATTTAGCCCACACAGTCTGAGCTTCTTATAAAAAAAAACAAATAATAAATTAAAAGTAATTTTAAAGAAGAGTAATAAAATAAAATCAATCAGATGAAATTGGCCATAAACATTCATGATGGGTGCTTTCCTAATGAAAACCAAGATAACTCAAGCTTTAACTAGTTTCTCTTCACAAATAAGGTAGTGTGTGACCTGAAAGGAAATTGCTTCACGGTGTGTTGCAGTAGCCTAGTTGCACTTCAGCCTAGTGTCTGTCGAAGATACACATGCACCACAAAACGTTGATCTTGTAACTAGCAAAAAAAAAAAAGTCATTTAATGTCCATAAGAGCTGTTTAACAGAATCTTTTTATGCAGTTATCGTTATATGCATGGTTAAAATAACTCCTGATTAAAATTCATTCCTGAACAAAATTCATTCCTGAATGATTCAGGCCTAAATAGGGGTCTGATCATTTGTTCAGAAAATATGTCATGATGCAGTTTCTTGTATCAGAATGAATGGGGAAATCTAAAATAGTGTTTTTGTTTTTTTTAATAGTAGAACTGAGTATAAATCCATAAATGCAGCTGTAGATTGGGCCAAAAGATTTGGCACACTTCAGAAAATGTAAAAGCGATATATACAACATTTTTAACTTTAATATAGCAGCAAACAACTTTTCTTTGCAAAGATATAGTGGAGTAATAGTGTGATGAGCAGAGCATGAAGTCATATCCCCTCTGTGTGATGCAATCTGAGCTTCTCTGTTTTTTGTTTTCATAGCTGGTCTGGCCACGTGGGCGTGTTAGTCCCACCTGTGAACGCGTTAGCACTCCCCATGTTTTGTTTTGCCCTTTCCAAAAGATAAAGACAATGACCGCCCTCAGAGCATTGTGCATGCGGCATGGTGGAGCACAGTAGGAGACATTTAGGTGAAAGCAGCCTTCCACGTTAATCGAAGTTGACGAGGCTGAAGTTTGATTTCCTATTCACATTTTCCTGTTCCACCTTAGATCATGCAGCAGTTGTATTCTGTGCAATGCAAAAAAGTGGGTAGCATAAACAGGCTATCAAAATATATATATATATATGTGTGTGTACATATATATATATATATATATATATATATATATATATGTATATATATATATATGTGTGTGTGTATATATATATAGCTAGAACATCAATCAAATATCAAATAATGTTATTTGCCCATCACAGAACAGACAAACTATGACACTGTGCAGGATGCTTTCCTCTTTGGAAAACTGGGATGAGAACGGGGTGATTTCCCACCTCATTTCAGGAGCTAAAATTTGTGAGTGCTTTCACTCACGGCAGGGATTTTGGAGATGCAGCTTCTCTAAACGAAGCTCAGAACAAACGGGCTGGATGTGTTCAAGTGCAATAACATCTCCTTTGTTCCTCACAGAACGGTGACAGTGAGCTACTGTCCATTTAAGAAAAGTGAATGTAGTGTGAAGATCGTCACTTCATTCAGAAACTGAAATGCTGAGCGCTTCCATACAGGCTTATTTTTGTTGGCAGCCCAGTTAGCCTTTTTGGAGATTCTGATTCTTTTAGCGTTTGTGCAGAGGTTCTGTTGGTTGGAACTCAGCTGCTCTGTTATCTTGGTTGTCACCATTCCAACAGCAGAGATGACCATGATGCTCAGGGAGTGTTTTTTGCCAGCGAAAGTTTGCAAGAACTGAACAGAGGACAAATAAAATGTCACTTATCGTCAGTTGCGCAGTGTGTAAAGGCCTCAGGGAACCTAAATGCAACTGCTGCACCATTTAAGTTGGAAAGGGAAAATTCTAAACAGAAGCTGAGGCACCTGAATATAGCCTAACTGCTGAACCATTTAAGGTGGAACGGGAAAATTCGTAAAAGAAACCGCTTCATCAAGAGTTAAAAGGGAGGTTCCTCCTGCTTAGCAAGTGGGTAACGTTAACTCATTTTTGCTGTTTCACAGAATCAGTGGGTTAGTACTGTTTTATCCTGTTTGCTAATGTTTGTTCTAGCAACTGGTTCACAGCAGCAACTGTAGCGACAGTTTGCTAACCCACAACGTAGCAAACCTTAGTTACATTACTACATTACTGCATTTGCCCTAATTGTGTCATGTTATTTGTTCGTAGAACGTGTGTGAAAGGTTTCATATTTAATATTTACAGGAAATTTAGGAATTTAGGTGCAAGTCAGCTGGTCTTCCTTGCCCTCTGAATAAAAAAAAAAAGGTACAGTGTAATTTCAGTGAATTTATAGTCATTTGAATTCGTAATTAGGCTGTCTACATACAGTGCGAACTTGTAAGAATATTTTTAAATATGTATGTGAATGGTGCTTCATTTTTCCACAGAACCAAGAAATGTCAGTGTCTTAGCAATCCTCCGGTCTGGTCAAAACAGCTTCTCTCCAGTGTATTACCACTTCTAGATCTTGGTTTATAGGGAGGATTGATTCTAGGCTGTTAAACGTGTTATTCTGTCATTCAGGCTGCTGAAAGTGAAGCCTGAAGAAAGGTTGACCATTGAGGGTGTCCTGGCCCACCCCTGGCTTAACTGCACTGAGGCCTTGGACAATGTGCTTCCCTCTGCCCAGATGATGATGGATAAGGTGAGCTATTCTTGACAGAAAAAGTTACATTACAAAAAGAGAAGGCTTTTGTGATACTATATTAGTGGTCATAGCCATACATTAAGTATGTATATACCAGTATAGTTTAACCTTGCAGCTCCTTTTTTAAATATTTATTTATTTATCTATTTATTGTACTTTATTTTTAGCACCTCCTCTTTACTTTGTATAAACGTGATGAGTGAACCAATAGAAGTGGTTCAGAATTATTTGGAATAAAACCTCATTACATGAATGTCCATTAAAATTAAGAATTTTTTTCCGCTCTTCTTATTATTTAAGCTTATTTAAGTTTTCGAGATATAAGGTTTTCGTACAACAGAGATGAAATACAGTTATTTGCAGTGGAAATAGGTACACAACTTGTACAGAGGACACACTTTTCATGCCATATTTAAGTTTGTTTTCTGTAGAGAATGTTTTCGTCCACAAAACATAATTTGACGAGGGGTGTTCAAGCTTTTGTATACGATTGTACAGTCATACAGAACTGTGCAACAGTCATTGACCACTTTTTTGTTTTTTACTTTGTGTTTTTTTTTTTACAAAATGGCCATTAAGTACAAGTTATTTATTTTGCGGTGTCGGCAAGAAAGAGCGCGCACACACACACACGCGCGCGCACACACACACACACACGCACGCTTATCCTTCTGGGTTGCGGGGGGAGCCTGAGCCTATCCCAGCGGGCGGAAGGCAGGATACACCCTGGACAGGTCGCCAGTCCATCGCAGGGCAAGAAAGAAAACAGGAAACAATTATTTAATAGAAAATATTTTAAACAAAAATATCCTACTCTGTCAGTATTTAATTAGTCTCTCTTTACTTTTGTACACTTTACTGCAACTTAGTCTTCCATCCTTCCCACCTTAAAAACACAGTGGTGTCCTCACAACAAAAGCTGTTCCCAAAGAACTCACTGACGTTATGTTAACATTCAAAGAGTTTCTAACATTCACACAGGCAAAAAAAAAAAACCTTTGATGCCTTACAGCCTTCTCTCTCATGTGCATCTAAAATGGCTAAAGGAGATATTTCTGAGGAGATTAGATATAAGATAATCCACTTGCATAATGAAAGGTGAAAGTCAAAGAAAATAAGTGGGGTGTGGGGTGCGGGTGGGGTGGGGGGTGGGTGGGCTGGGAGCAGTTTCCAAAACTGGAGTTAAAAAAAAATTGTAAAAGATCTAGAGAAAATGAGACTCCTAAAAATGTGTAAGAGCTGGTGTAACACCAAAGCGGTCACCAGCAGATAAACAGTACTTAATCTTTGAGAGAGAGGAGAAAATCAAGCTCCACTCTTGCTTCAAATCTAAAAAAAGTCCACAGGTGTTTCTGTCCATCCTTCCACAGTGAGAAGACAACTGAACACTATGAGTCTGAATGGGTGTGTAGCTGTCAAGAAGAAAACAAATCTCAATAATAAGTAATAAAGGCAATTTGAGATAATATAATGTATGTAATTATAGTTTGAGATTATATTTAGTTGTCGAAGCCTCTTTTCTGCCGCTGAAAAATCAGTAACTTGTAGTTAATGGCTGTTTTGACTGGCAATTAAAAAAAATTAAAGGGTGGTCTCTGAGTTTTGCACAGTACTATGCATAGTATATATGTTGGCATCTTACAGTATAATTAAGGATTAAAATGTGCTGCTTTTTTGTGATTGAGCAGGCAGTTGTAGCCGGGATCCAGCAAGCCCATGCAGAACAGGCTTTTGTGATACTATATTAGTGGTCATAGGCATACATTAAGTATGTATATACCAGTATAGTTTAACCTTGCAGCTCCTTTTTTAAATATTTATTTATTTATCTATTTATTGTACTTTATTTTTAGCACCTCCTCTTTACTTTGTACAAGCGTGACGAATGAACCAATAGAAGTGGTTCAGAATTATTTGGAATAAAACCTCATTACATGAATGTCCATTAAAATAAAATTTTTTTTTCCGCTCTTCTTATTATTTAAGTTTATTTAAGTTTTCGAGATCCCAGCAGTCAGTGGGCGGAAGGCAGGATACACCCTGGACAGGTCGCCAGTCCATCGCAGGGCAAGAAAGAAAACTGGAAACAATTATTTAATAGAAAATATTTTAAACAAAAATATCCTACTCTGTCAGTATTTAATTAGTCTCTCTTTACTTTTGTACACTTTACTGCAACTTAGTCTTCCATCCTTCCCACCTTAAAAACACAGTGGTGTCCTCACAACAAAAGCTGTTCCCGAAGAACTCACTGACGTTATGTTAACATTCAAAGAGTTTCTAACATTCACACAGGCAAAAAAAAAAAACCTTTGATGCCTTACAGCCTTCTCTCTCATGTGCATCTAAAATGGCTAAAGGAGATATTTCTGAGGAGATTAGATATAAGATAATCCACTTGCGTAATGAAAGGTGAAAGTCAAAGAAAATAAGTGGGGTGGGGGGTGGGTGGGCTGGGAGCAGTTTCCAAAACTGGAGTTAAAAAAAAATTGTAAAAGATCTAGAGAAAATGAGACTCCTAAAAATGTGTAAGAGCTGGTGTAACACCAAAGCGGTCACCAGCAGATAAACAGTACTTAATCTTTGAGAGAGAGGAGAAAATCAAGCTCCACTCTTGCTTCAAATCTAAAAAAAGTCCACAGGTGTTTCTGTCCATCCTTCCACAGTGAGAAGACAACTGAACACTATGAGTCTGAATGGGTGTGTAGCTGTCAAGAAGAAAACAAATCTCAATAATAAGTAATAAAGGCAATTTGAGATAATATAATGTATGTAATTATAGTTTGAGATTATATTTAGTTGTCGAAGCCTCTTTTCTGCCGCTGAAAAATCAGTAACTTGTAGTTAATGGCTGTTTTGACTGGCAATTAAAAAAAATTAAAGGGTGGTCTCTGAGTTTTGCACAGTACTATGCATAGTATATATGTTGGCATCCTACAGTATAATTAAGGATTAAAATGTGCTGCTTTTTTGTGATTGAGCAGGCAGTTGTAGCCGGGATCCAGCAAGCCCATGCAGAACAGCTGGCAAACATGAGAATACAAGACCTTAACGTCAGCCTCAAGCCGCTCAGCTCCGTCAACAACCCTATTCTGAGGAAAAGGAAGCTGGGGTTGCTAGGGTTGGTGTCTCTCTCTCTTCTCTCTTTACTTAAGATAGCCGAGTTTGTTGTTTGCCTATCACCGTTCGAATACTGGTTACTTTAAAACAATAAACAAAAATATAAATACTTGCTCCCCATATGAAGTAATCATATATTAAACCACTTAACAGATTTTAAAGTTGTAAAATCTAAATCAGGCCATGTATGGAACCAAGTTTTCCTCCCAGTTAAACAGTAGATTACAGTTGCCAGTTCTACACTTTACATTATACTAAGACACCATTTACTTCACAAACCTCACTGATTTTATCAGTACCAGAACTTTAAAGGGCCCATATCATGCATTTTTCTTTATTGTCAACCAGAGGTCCACTTAGAACATTAATGTGGATTTATATACTACAACCAATCCTGGTCCTGGAGATCTACCACCCTGGAGAGTTCAGATCCAACACACCTGTCTCATATAGTCAGATGCCCCCGAAGGCCTTGATTACCTGGATCAGGTGTCTTAGATTAGGATTGAAGCTAACCTCTGCAGGGTGGTAAACCTCCAGGACCAGGATTGGGCACTTCTGAGCTATATGGACTGGGGAGTGAACAGTTTGTATAGACACTTTTAGCAATGTTTACATACAGCGTCTAACTTTTACATTGCAAACTGAAGGACTTGTACTCATTTCATGCTGTAAATATGAGCTGTGTTTTGTTGGCCCATATAGAACAAAGCCTAGCGATGGCTTCTTCATTAACGATCCTGAAAATGGTGCCGAGGACTCCAACGTTGCTCTGGAAAAACTAAGAGATGTCATTGCACAGTGCATCCTCCCACAGGCTGGTAAGTGAGATAATGAAGAGCTCATTGTGGTAATTATGGGATTATTCTGGTAATATGCGCCATGTCTTGCTTTTCTCATGTGCATAAACTCATTTTGGCTGATGTTCACAGGAGAAAATGAGGATGAGAAGCTGAATGAGGTGATGTATGAAGCGTGGCGTTTCAACAGGGACTGCAAGCTGCTCCGTGATGGGCTGCAAGGGCTGAGCTGGGATGGTAAGTATACTTACCAATTTAAAAGAATGTTCCAACAATTTCAGGCAAGAACCTGACTTTGGCCTCATCTAAATCTCCTTATCAGAAAAATGTTACCAGCATTAAAAGAATAAGTAGGATATTTTGATAGCCTAAATTAGTAGGTAAGTAGTAATGTTAAGCTGGACAGAACAATAGACTGTACAGTAGACTTTTAGTTGTTAGAACACCGGTCTAAGTCTTTAGGATTCAGCAATTGGTGGTAACGTTACTAGTCAGCTAAGTTTGCTAATGCTAACATTAGCGGTGCGCTCATACGCTACTTGTTTATGTTGGAGGAGAACAGTCTAGTGGCTGAGGATAGATTACAAAACTGCCATCTTGCGATCAGGGGTTTAAACACAACACAAGAACCACGATCTGCCAGGAATCTTTGCATGTAAACTATTAATTTTTGTTGTCTTTGAGAATCAATATAGTATCGCAAAACATCGCGATACTCAAGCGTGTCGATATTTTCCAACACCTCTAGGATCAGGTGGGGAAATCAGCTTTTGTGAGTCGTGTTTTCTCCACGAGGCTAAGGTTGGCTTTCTGTTCGCCAGCTTCTTATTAAAATATTCCATACCACCTTAAATGGAGAATGTAATCACTGCTCCATTTAAGGTAGAATGGAAAATGGAATAAGAAGCTAACTTCAGTTTTGCCTTTTCTCATCATTCCAGTAACTGGCACATTGGTCTTTAGCCTAGTGTTTATGTACTGTTATGCATTGTGTAAGTATTTAGCTTCTACTTAGACAAGCCCCTTAATACTGAAGTGCTGTGACAGCTGGGCTGTTGGTTGTTGACTGTTATAAAATGCACTAATTACAATATTTTACCGTATGCATTGACTTAAAATCACACAAGTTAACCAGCTTTGCTTGCTGAGCTTTGTGTTTTGCTTTTATTTGCACTGTGTATGAATGTTTAGTTTTATTTTTTGTCTCCTTTTAGGTCGGGCTTTCTCTGATAAAGTGGATCGCTTGAAATTGGCAGAGATAGTAAAACAGGCCATTGAAGAAAAAACAAACTTAGAAGACTCCCAATAGCAAGTGCTGCATTTCTATTTCCTTTTGTACTGTTTATTATAATTGTTCTTAAGCAAATAACTGTAAAGAGTAATTTTTATGTAAATTGAAGCGCATGCTTTTTTTCCCTTCTCCATGGACACACTTGCGAGCCTGTTGTACAGCTGTAGATATGACCAAGACGTTGTTGGTACGATTACTTTTTTTCTACAGATGACAGTGAAAAAAAACACATTTTAAAAAGCATATTTTTGTTTTTGCAAGAAAAAATGAAAAAAAGGAAAATAATTGTTTCAGCACCAACTGAGAAGGAAGGGAGCCCTTTATGATTCATTTAGGAAATGAGATATTTTTACCTTTTTAGTTTTGACTTCCTTTTTCTTTTAACAATGCCTGTAAGTCTATTTATTAAAAGAAACAAAGAACACATTTGATAGCAGAACTTCCAGAAGAAGAAATGAACATGCCTCTGAAGAGGATGGGGTTGAAGGTTAACTTGTTATTCATATAGATTTCCATATAGGATTGAAAACTCATGGTGATTTTATTACCCCAAAAAAGTTGCTAAAGAATTTGAGTTAACATCATAAAGCTGCCTTCAGAATTGCAATCAAATATATATCATTTCATATCAGCACATAGTTGTAACTGGACTGTGAAAAATAGTACAAATTAATACCTTCCATCCTTTTCTAATTTGCTCCCCTAGCTTTGATCTTGCTAAACTGAGTGAAAGAATTGTAAGCTGTTTTTTTTATTTTTTTTTTTATCAGTTAAGGATATTAAATTATATAACTCCCATATATGTAATAATCTGTTACCAAGTGAAGTCATGCTGGCATTATTTTTCTTTTCTTTAATCAACTTTATTTCGATAGTAAATCTCTTTAGCTGACAAATCGATATTCTCAGCTGATTGGAGAAAACAGTTGATGAATTATGACTCAGCAAAACTACAGCCTTGTGTGTGTGTGTGTGTGTGTGTGTGTGTGTGTGTGTGTGTGTGTAAAAGAGAGAGAGAGTGAGAAAGAGAGAGAGAGAGCAAGAGAGCAGAAACAAGTAAATGCTGCTTCCCTTTTGATCTTTAAAGGAAGTAGTTCTTACTGACATTGCACAGGCAGTGGTCAGCCAGCGCCTGTTTTTCCCAAAAGCGTTGGTAAAAAAAATCTTAATACGGTGTTTTCATTCAGTTCAAACTTTACAGTACGCTTAGACTGTTTACACCTGGTTGTTTCATGTGTCTTGAGTAGCAGGATAATATCTGGATGGATATTATCCTAATGCACATAAAAATGCAAGTGTAAAGATGCATTTAAAACAGACTTAAAGGGGAACTCCACTGATTTTTGAAAAATTTGGCACAATTAAATGTTTTCTTATGTAAACAAAGTCATTCCGAGTGATGTACTGTGAAATACTCCGTCCTAGAAAAACTTACCGAGTCAGAATTGTTCACAGTGGTGGTGATAGAAACCAGACGTCTGAAGAGTTTAATGCCTTTGAAATCCCCCTCACAGAAAGTTATTACATGAAATGGTTAGATATCTCTGATACATTGCTTTATGGTGGTTTTGTATTTTTGTTTTAGCTTAAAATGTATGTTAATTCATTTATTTTGATCCATTTATGGCAGAGTGGTATATGCAGGGTGTAAGGCGAAAACTCAGACACTTGTAGGTTCACTAGTGATTTGGGATTGTAAATAAAACGGATATATTGATGTTGTAGACATTGTGAGCCTGGGTTCCTATTAGGACCACTGTAAAGAAATCTGAGTCTCTACAAATGAAGTATTTCACATCAAACCGCTCTGACGTTGTTTATATCCCAAGAACTAAATAATTCAGAAACTTTGAAAAATTGGTGGAATTCCTCTTTAAAGCTCATCACTCAGACCACTTCCGGAATCTGTCTCAATAAGCCACATTTGGCAATCAAAACCCCTCTGAATATAGTGATACCGCCTATGCCTGCTGTTCCACATATAGGAAAGTGGCTGCCACCTTCTTGCTTTCTTCTTTATTTTTTTTATTTCTTTGTTTCTTCCACAGCAGCCATTTTTTTAAAGAACAAGAAAAATGAGATACAACACAGTCAACTGGTTGTTGTATATGAGCTAATTTGCATTTTACTCAGCATGAAGCAATCATATTTCAATCTGACTAACCAGAGACGCATTTGACTACTAAGCATAAAAACTTGCCAAGTTGCAGTCTAGATACTAGTCGCATGAAACAACCCAGTGCAAATGGGGTCTTAAGTTTCTGCAAGAATTACAAGGCATTTCTAGTTAAGAAAGAATTGTCAGTCATACGGTACGGTACCATCTACCAAATGTGTGTACTGTAGATGTAATTGGAAATCTAAGTACCTTAATTCAAGATAGACGAATATGGGCCTAATATCTCATGTAGGCTATCAGTGCTAGTTAATTAGATAAATGAAACCAGGATATAGAAAAACCCCAAACCTGACCATGCTGTTTGTTTGATTTTCTTCCTTCACCATTGTGGCTTGAAGGCTGTCTGAACATGCTGTATAGTAGAGGGCGCTGTATAGTAGTGGTTCTCAATCCTGGAGCACCCCTGCAGTGCACATTGTGGTGTTTTCCCTGCACCCAACAAACCTGATTCAACTCATCAGCTAATCAATAAGCCTCTTCTGAGTCACACTTTCTGTTAGAGTGGGGGGAAAATACTAATCTGAAACAAAACAGCGGCACTCCAGCCCTGTGATTGAGAAGCACTGCTGTGCAATTCAGCATTTATGGTGATCACTGCACTATGATGTTTCGGGAAAGCAGGCCAAGAGGTACTACTTCTCACTGCTGATTATCACCAAGGTGATGTCACCTAAATGGACTGATTGGCTCAGGGCTGCCATAGCAACAATTCATCCATTTGTAGTGATCTTAAGATTCAGCACTACCCCTGTCTTTTTTGGGAAAATATCTACTCATTGTTTTCTACCCTAACTAACCATCATAAGCCACGGACTACATATTAAGTCATTGCTCCATGACTTTGAATGCCTTCTTCCAGGTATGGACCTACAAAGAATTGAATGGTGGACAAACTATCATACATCTAAGATTATACAGTTTACTTAAATCTCTAATTACCAGTTTCACAGAAAGCTGGAATAGCTCCCAAGAGTCCCTGCAACAGTTCAGCCTACCCTGTGTATTTAATGGTTGCTCTCAGCAAGACATAACTGAATTACAGACTTTTTAAATGTAGCAACGCATCTGGGGACACTTTTTCTGAAGACAAGTGGTTCTCAGCATGTTGGACATAACCGCTGAGCCAGCTTCAGGTTGCCTTATGCCCAGCCCTTCTCAAACCATGACAAATCACAAAGCAAACCACAAAGGTAGAGGCTTTTTCTAGCAGCTGTCGTCTTAGCATGGCAATATTTTGTTCTCTCTTTGTGAAACCGGTCAGAAAAAAGGGCTTGTGGCTCTACCAAGACCAACTTTTGCCTTGCTACTTATGAGACTCATTTGTTACCAGCGCTTCCACTTTTGTTGTTTTTATCATATTGTAATTTATTTAATTAATTTTCTATTATTCTATTTTTACCCTTTTCTGATGTGGCACATAAGCACTTATCATTATCATTTCATGATGGAAGACCTGTACCTCAGACAGTATTTTATTTTTAATTTTTTTATTTTATTTTTATTTTAATTTTGTCTTCTCCTCTTTGAAATGTCCTGACCATGCTGAAATATTTGTATTAAAGGAATTCCTTGCTACAGCATTGAGAATGTGTGCTATTTGTGGCTGTAATGTACGTGGTGATCAGTATGAATTGGACAGTTATTACTAGATGTAATTTCAAAACAATAGAGAAGCATCTTCTAGGAAACATTGAAAATTGCATTTGCAATCTTCTTAAACTGCAAGGTGACAGTAGCTTCTCAAAGCACATACTTGCGCGACTGGTAATGAACTTATTTTCGAGCAACTGGGGAATGTCATTTACATTACACTACCAGTGACCACTAGGTAAACTGAAGGGTCAACGTAGGGGTGGGAAATATGACTTGATCTTTATTATCATTGTTATAAATTGTCACATTATGCTTTTCTGAGCATGTGGATATTTCCAGTACTTAAAGAACAGTGATCAACTGCAGGTGTGATTACAGACAGAGCATATTCAAGCCTAGTTCTAGGTAGCTGTTTTAGTACATTAAATCATGTTAAGGTTTTTTTGATGTTAAGCATTTTGGAATGACCCAATAAAAATCATTGTATTTGTAGTTTTTGGTAGCCTGTTTAAAACATGGCACTACTGCTTCTTTTTTCTGTTCCAACATATCAAACCTCAGAAAAACAAAATATGTAGCATGAAATTGTCTGAAATATCGTGATTTTTGCTGTATCACCTAGCCTTAGGTCAAAGTGAACATTTTTATTTATTTTTTTTAGTTCAGTGTGATCAATGTGTCCGAGGGAATTTGACCGATTTTCCAAAATTTCTACATAAATTGGTGGTTTCACATCAAACCACTCTGAGTGACTTTTGTTTACATCCAGAGTGGTTTGATGTGAAAGGGTTCATTTGTAGAGAAACTTACCAATACAGATTTCTTTACAGTGGTGCTGATTGGAACCAGGGGTCTTGATGTTTGCAACACAAATATAGCCATTTTATTTGCCATTGAAAACCTCCAGTGAATCTACAGTCTCCTTTTTTATATGTAATGTTGTTGATGGTTAAATAATGTTTAATCAGGGGGAAGAAACTTTTACTTGGTAACTATTTTGCAGTAAAACACCCTTCTTGTATCCCTCCACCATGGCTGGATTAAAATAAATTGATTGAAATACGTTATAGACCAAAATCTTTATTACAAATCTACTGTAAAACAATGTCTCAGACATCAGACAGTGTATTCATAACCATTTTTATGTAATAACTTTCTAGGAGGGAGATTTTAAAGGCTTTGAACTCCTTTGACGTCGGTGCTTATCACCACCTCTGTAAACAATTCTGACTCGGTAAGTTTCTCTAGAACCGAGCATTTCACAGCAAACCACTTTGTTGACCATTTAAATGGGCAGGAAAATAAAAAAAAATGAGTCCCTCTTTAATGCGAGGGCACAAGATTAAGAGAAAATGCTCGTTAAACTTAAAATCAAGGGTTTACAATTAAGGTAAAAACATTTCATTGTAAAACGAGGTTTACGTGAATAATGGCGTAGTGTAAACAGTTGTCCTCTTGTAAACTCAAAGCATGTGCTCAGTTATTTTATTAGAATAGAGACAATAAAATTATTACAGTAGCAAATAGTAGAAATGCCACTCTCTTTACAGCTATAAGCATGCCATGTGGCAAAAAAATATATATTATATTGAGTCACATTCCTGATATTTCACGTATGAACGTGCGTATGTGCGTATGCGACTCTCCATGAGAAGCCGGCTGAGCTCACGTGGCCGCCTCAGCACTACCGCTCCGCTCCCGTGGTGATCTGTCAACTTCCTGTAAATAGTGCGCTGCGCCCCGTCCCACATCTCGCAAAACTGAGAAAAGACAGCGAAATTTCGCTACAATGTTCATGGCATGCAGCTTGGACGACAGATTTATGTTTATATTTCATGATTTTTTACAATGTCAAGGGGAACGCGAGAGCGAAATTTAAAATCGGAGAGATACCCGCCTGTGCTGCGTGTATGTATCCTTCCGCTACTTTGTGTGTCTTTTCAGCCTGTTTAGGTCTTTCACAGCAACGAAGATCCTGTGTTGAACTGATGATATAAACTGAAACGAAAAAAGGACGAATTTTTATTCTGACTTTTGTGGACATAGAGACTATATGGACAGCCTGTGTACTGTCTTTCAAACAAATTAAGTATTTTTGTTTTAAAGGGGCAAAGATAAGTAAGATAGCTGGTTTACCAACTAGCAATTGTGGCTAGCAGGCTAACGTTAGCTGTCACTCGTTAGCTTCTCTGTCAGACAGCGTCTGAACGCGCGTGTCGTCCTCTCTGTCGCTGACAGTGTGTACGAAACGTTTTCTAAACACCTAGAACACCCTGCTCAAAGCGGTCGTTTATGGGATAACCATGTCAATGAAGCAGGCCGGTGGAAATCGCAAACCCGGCGGGAGCAGCAGCGGGGCTGCCTCGGCCTCTGGCGCCGGAGGCTGCGGAGGAGCTGCGGGACGACAGAGTTTGGGCAGGTGGGTTCACAGCAGAGCGGCTCGGACAGGCTGCTTTTCCTACTGACGCTGTAAAATGACTGTGCAGTGTCGCTGTTTCGAATGTACAGAATGCTCACTGTAACGTTAAAGTGGTGAAATTGCATGGCTTTGCTGTCAGGGAGAGTGCTGCTGTTAGCTCGCCGAGTTAGGCCGAGCACGGGAGAGCGTTTTTTTCTTTTGGTTAGGCCAGGTTTACCGGGATGGGGATTCGCACGTCTGTCCACAAAAATGTGCTGCACCAACTGTGGCTGGACACACCAAATGGTCCAAATGGTCGTCGCCACCATTTCGTGGAACCAAACCAATGGAAAATGAGCGGATTTGCCCGTTCTAGCAGTAGCAGTGTTGTCGCTTTTCTTCAGCTGTGTCCTTTACCGGCCGGTTTGACTGCCTTTTAACACCAGGATGGACAGTAAAATGAGCACAGACTGTTTTTTAATCTTGTCAGACCGTTCAGTGTATACATTGTTTATTTGCATAGTGGTCCGCCTTGTAGCTAGCTTGACGGCCTTGAATTTTAAGTTAGATTAAACAGTGTCAAGTCAGCATAGTAACTGCGCGCTAATGCCTTTTCTTACAGAACAGGGCCAGACTAGTGGACTAACCTTGATGACAGTTGGGGTAGCTAGTTAATGGAAAATTGTCATTTTTACTGTCCCACAGCAAAGCCAAATGTTATAGATTTTAATGGATAAGTAGTTTCGTTATTTGTGTTTGCTGCTTCTTTTTGCTGATTTCCTTCATCAGAAATTTCATCTGGGATTATACACACGAGATATGTCAGTAAATAAATCTGGCCCACATCTTTAAACGTCATTTAGATCTGGGCGATTTGTTTAGATATTGTGAACCCAGCTAACAGCAGCAGGTTTAGTGTTGATATTACACTGATGTAGTAGCTGGCGAGCTAAAGACGTTTTATTTTATCTGGAACTATGTGAAGGATATTTTTACGTTTCCAGCTTTGCAGTTTTAAGTAGATTGTAGGGAGAAAGGCTGTGATATTGGACATGTTAAAGGGGAATTCCACCAATGTTTCAAAATTTCTGAATAATTCGGTCCTTGAGATGTAAGCAGTGCCATTCAGAGTGGTTTGACGTGAAATGGTTCATTATAAAGAAACTTACAGCCTCAGATTTTCTTCACAGTGGTGGTGATGGGAACCAGAGGTTACAATGTCTAGAACACAAATATAGCCATTTTATTTACTATCCAGAACCACCAGTGAATCTACATGTGTCTTCTGAGTATTTATATGGAATGGTAATGATGGTAAAATAGAGGAAAATCTGAAAAAGTAGGAATTCTTTGGGGACTATTTTGCCCTACAGCGCCCTGCATGTACCTCTCCGCTATGAATAAGTTAAAATAAAGTGATTAAAATACATTTTAAGCCAAAACTTTCATAGAGCCATGTATTCATAACTCATTTCATGTAATCACTTACTGTGAGGCAGCTTTCATGGGTGGACGTCTCGTTCCTATCACCGCCGCTGTTAACAATTCTGACTCGTTAAGTGTCTCTGGGACAGAAGAGTTTACACCAAACCACTTTGAATGACCTGGTTTACATCTTACCCGTTTAATTATGTTTAAATTTTTGAAAAATCTGTGGAATTCTCCTTTAAGACTGTGTGACGCTTTGGCGTAGTATCGTTCAGTAACGTAGCAACGGGCGCACGTGCACGAGAGAGCCGCACGTGAGAAGCGTGCAGCACCATCAGGCCTCATGGTTAAAGGGGGGCAACGTTATAAAAGCTTTTTCATTGGCATTTTGTCTGGAAAGATGACTGAAACGTTTCGCGCTGTTCTAAAGATCGGCGATGCCACGGATTACGAGGCTCGGCTTCTGCTCGCTAAAATGTAACGTTAGTGTAGCCTTGGTTTTGGTAAATAGTATCGTTACGGTTTACGTAAATCGGAGTATTTAATCGATTTAGCGAGAACGGAGCCCTGGCACAACAGCCTGTACCATCACCACCACCTCTATTACTACTGCTGCCGATGCCTCCTTCACCATTGACTCAAAGGGGCTTCTCATGCGTGCAGCTGCGCTTGCGCACAGTGCACCCAGTAGCTTATGCCTGTGATGTATCCTGAATGGGGAAACTGTACAGTCTCAAATAAAAGATGGTTCTTCAAGGGTTCTTTAGTGAAGACATTGTTTTTATATAGAACCATGAACACTCAAAGAACCATTTGCATGCTTAAGTGGTTCTTTGGATTAATGGAGAATGTGTTGTATATGGTTCTACATAGCACTTAAAAAGGGTTCTGCTATTGTTACAAGCTTGACATCACAATTGCAGAACCCTTTTTGGGGCTGTATAGAACCATTTTCAAAAACGTTCTATATAGAGCCATATACAACACATTCTCCATCAGTCTGAAGAACCATGGGATTTTACCATGCAAAGAACCATGTAAGCATGTAAATGGTTCTGTGAGTATTCATGGTTCTATGCAGAATCATTGTCTTGATTAAAGAACCGTTAAGAACCGTCTTTTTTATGAGCGTAGGTATTGTCGATTTTGATGATTTGCGTTGGACCAC